AAAGTATGCTTTATGAGAAGCCAAACCCTAAATGGCTTGATTTTAATATCAACTTATTTTGATAATCAAAACAAAATTACACTACAAAAATCTTATCTATTAATAATTGTTATTAATATATATATATATAATTTTTTGACTTTTTAACTTAATATTTGTATTACATATATATGTCCATGTTCTCTTAAAGATAAAAATATCTTCAAAGTTGCACGTTAAAATATACATTTATTTATATTCAATAAGATTGTAAACAAATTATGCTTACGGAAATGTATTAATCTAAAAACACATTTATTCGCTGCAGTTACTTTTGAATTGTGTATAGTAAAAAATTCGAAACTGTCTTGATACTCGATAGGATCAGTGTTACTAAGACAAGATATTAGACGCACTTCACTGTCGCTTACCCCATAAACATTGCCATATCGTTCACTCATGTATCGCAGAAGCGTTCGTGAACCAGTCTTTATAATATAATGATAATTTCACGATAACTCTATCTCTTCCATCACAAATTATAGTATATCTATTTACATATAATTTATTTAAGCTCCTCGCCTCCACTTCTCTCCGTTACTGAACTTGGTCATTTCTCGACCGCTAACACCACAGGTACCAATTCCCACACGACCATTTACGTTCTCCGGTGTCGCAAAGATGCTCTTCTTTATAACACCTTTCTTCGAAGACTGCAGAGAATAAAAGTAATTATAATAGAGACATGATTTAAATATATTCTGGATATGTATGCTATGTAAATGAAGTTATTGCCTACCTTATTAGTAAATGCTAGCCACTTGTTCTTTTCCAATTCCCGTTCCTCCTCCAATTCTTTGAATCGCTGTAATTTCCTCTGCTTCTTTTTCTTGAGGTATTCCCTTTGCTTATTCGGATCCGAACCCGCAACTGCAGCTGCTTGCATTTTCCTATAAACGAATAAATTTATCGTTTAAGTAAAATAGAGATAATTCAAATTTAGATATATAAATAATGATGTTTCCATATATTTTTATCAGTACATGCATTTCGATAAGTATTAATATTAATATATCTCGATGTATGTACCAATTACTTACAACTTACAAAAATTAGCACACTTATATCATAAAAAGTTATGATATCGCAAAAGAGCAAAATAATACATATATTATTATAATAATACATATATTACTTTGTTATTTAGTGTATAGAATGTAATTACAATTTGTCAATTCTTTTGCACATATATAATTAATTTGTTTTTCAAAGACGTGGTCCAAGAATTGGACAATTCTTGTTACCTTTTTCTGGAGCCCGACGATGCACACGGACCGCGTGACATCAAAGGATAAATGAACAATAATGAGCGTTTTTCAGATGTAATATCGTACCAATGGTGGAGTTAGTTGCCAATTCAGAAATGAGAAACAGGAGGAAAAAATGAATGATTAGTAAATTGTCGCCTTATATTTTTTGTTTCTCATAAAGGCAGACATGTGCAAAAACATAAGGTACATTTTACATCGATTTACAATGATACACATAATCTTAGACATCATAGATTAGAAATGACTCACTTTGATTTTTGATCTGCCCAGTCTGATGCTGGCCTCTTAGCAACAGACTTTAGCTGGCTGAGCATAGTAACATCAGTGTTCTTGTACTCATTGAACGTCACATTTACTATTCCATCTTCACTTATCACGTCTATAGTTGCTTCATAATACCTATAAAATTTTGCAATATATAATATTTAAAAAATTATGCGAAATGTTTCATTTCAGAATAGTCATTGCACTTCTTTTTAAACAAATCATTATCAATTTTTTACTCAAACAGTTGATTACAACTTATATCATAATTAATATTTGCTTTAATAATATTAATATTCTTGGTCTTTTCTCTTTAGTATTCAACATAAAGTTTGACAGTAGGAAAGTTAAATTCAAAGTTTCTTAAAATAAAGTCCAAGTATTAACTGAAAAATAAATTTGAAAAATAAAGCAAATAAATAATATTGCTAAATCCTTTCTGACTGGAATTTTTTCCTGTAAATAATTTCATCTTTGTGTTATACCATGTATTTTAGGTTTTAATAATGACTCAGGTAAAACGTTTTCAAAATATTTTATATATTGATTCAATGTTATATATAAATTAGATGACTTTTCTTGCACAACTCGATCAAAATTCAATTTGATATTATAAACAATAGGCCTGTCTTCAAAACCGGAACATAGATTTTTGCATAATGCATAAAACTTTTGCATAATCCATAATGCACAAGAAAACCAACCAATCAGAGTCTTTTATTTTTATGGAAATAAAGAACTTTGATTAAAGGGTTAATTTTTTCAAAATTCGTGCGTTCTCATCCTTATAGAACTCTCTAAAGATACACACAATGCAATAAGTTTAAGTGAGATAAATTACATTTGTTTTCCTTCAACTTATTGCATCAGTATATATAAATTCCAAGAGTTCATCAATGAAGAACAAATCTAAAATACGAATGATACCCACTTGTTATCCTCGCTCCAAGGTGCCATACACTGATCGCCGACTTTCCACTTATTGGCCAGAACTGCAAGCAAAATAGGATCTTTAGCATCCATGCCATTGGCTTGTCTTTTTTCCTGCTGTTGTGACTTAATTAAATCATGTGTCAGCTTTATTACTTCCTTCAGATCGAATTTCAGCTTTATCAACTCTTCATTATTCGGATCTGTCGTGAGAGCCGCTTCCACCTGAAATACGAAAAAGGATAAGGATTTAGTCCATCGTGAAGACATTATAAGCGGAATAAACAAGAGTGAGTTGTCACATCCAATCGATTGTTACGCGAGGTTAAGAGAGGAAAAACAAGGCTAAACACCTGCTGAAGCTGCAGCTTGTAGTTCTGTAAGTCATCCATGCTGCTCGTCTTATCTCAAATTATCCAAAGCCACGGCGTGGCACGAAGATTCGGTCTCCTCTTTTCGCTTGACTCAGAACTGTTACGAAAATAAAGTATTATTAGTAATCACTCGTGACAACTCCAATTCATTCCAGTCTACTACGGTTGACAAGCGTAAGGCAAGCAATGCTGCCAATGTAACACGTCGTTGACTTTCTCGCTTGCAGGACTACGATGCGAAGAACGAACTATTCAGAGAAGGTTTGGCGAATAAGAACAAACTACGAAGAGACAAAAGCTTATTGTTTCTGTTCGAAAAATCCAGAATTGCTTAGAAACGTACAAAACATGTCCGACGTGAGAAGCATCGACCACAAAGTTAGCTGAAGTAGTAACTCTGCTTGTAAGATGGCGACACAATTGCTTGAAATGATTAGAGTCCTATATATAGAGAGAAGTGACATTGATGTCCGAATTTTTGACTGGTAGTCTGATATGTATTCTGATTGGGTATCAGTTGTATCTCACTGGGTATCTGTTGGGTTCAATTGTATCTCACTTGTCAGAATGCAAAAGGAATGTGCATTCAACTAAGTTATGACACAGAGAATCATTACATCCTTGTTATTCACATCGAAGTACATAATTGAAGGTTGGAGTATGTGGGGGTTCGATGTCGCTTCTTTCTATATATAGGATCTAGAAATGATGGAAATTTCGAGAGTTTGATTCTATCATTTCTAAAATTTTGCTTTTATTATGTAGTAATAAATATAAGCATCATTTACTGATTAATCAATGCATATGGCCAGGAAGTTATTCGATACTCCCTTACTTTTTTATGATAATAAAATAAAACTGCAAAAAAAGATGCCAACATCACACGGTATTCCCAAGCGGTCACCCATCCAAGTACTAACCGTGCCCAACGTTACTTGACTTCAGTGATCGGACGAGAACTGGTACTTTAAACGTGGTATGGAAGTTGGCTGAAAACTTGATGACATATAGTTGTATTTAACCCAAAGAACAGCTTTGCAATTGTTAAAAAATTTTTAGTTGCTTTTAGTTTCTCACTGGATCTAATAAGAAATCAAAATAACTTAATTTTTATTCTTAACTTAATCTTTGATAAATAATCTAATTTTCTAACAAAAAATCATCTTTTGATTTTCATGACGTCAAAATAAAAGGTTTATTTACGTTTGCACTTTTTGCATTCAGCATCTTCGCTTTCTTTCTTTTCAACGCCCAAATATATATCTATTTCAGTTTTAATTAAAAAATTTTTTGAGATTTTAAGCAACGCGAACCTAAAGGTCTGTTTTTTATTCCTACATTAGACTACACTAGAATTCTCTTTTTTGTTTTCGCCAAATATTAAATATATATTAAGAATTTTATTACAACAGTTGCAAAGCTTCTTTTTCTGTTGAACTCTCCTTTAACTTCTTTTTATAATATAGCACCTGTTATTTTATGAAGGTCAATATGACAGATGTTTTGTTGGTGCATATTAATAACAATCGGTTAGTACTCATTTAAGGCCGTTGTATACTTATTTAATCTGTATAAAAATAAAACGCAAACTGGTACCTTAAATACAGGTGAATTGGGACAGCATGTATTTATTGTTAAATTTAATCGTAGTATCCATTCATAATTGAATTTAACAAAAATACATACTGTTACCTACACTTGTTCCAAGTCACCTATACGGTATTTTGAGTTATGAAATACAAATTTTACTTAACAGCACAATAAAATGTATCGAGGATTTCATCAATTTCATAGTTTAATCTGTTTTTTATATTTATATTACATACATATTTTTACGTCAATTTGTGCACACAGCACATTCAATCGAATTCGCTATAAGGTTCTTGAGTCGCCTTGATTGGACAGACGCTTTATGCACCTATTATAATTATTTCTTTCAATCTCCGCCAATCAGACAAATTCATTAGACCAATAGCAGAGCCGGTAATCTGAGAGTCTTGCTAGTTGCCTAATATTGGCTGACCGCTGAAGTTGTGTGGTTCCTAGTGTTCCTACACTTTTACTTACACTCAAAAACAGCATTTAAGCACGGTACTGTACTACGTCATAAAGATCGTAAGTTTCTTTTACAGCTGTTCGGTATGTTTTGACAAAGATGTTATTATCGTGCAAATGTGTATATTATGTAACACTATTGGTAACGCAGAGTCTCACGGTGACGCTGATGACAGTCTAAAATGGTCTAAACCTTTTAATAAGAGTGCCACGATATATACTGTAATTTGTGCGCTGTCTTAGGGTTAGAAATTTTCAGTCATGGCATACCCGGTAATTCTAAGTAACAATTATGACGATTACATTTGCACGCAGTGACAATACGACGATGCACGCTTTATTCTATCATTTCAGTTTATCATAAATCTCCGAATCGCCTGATACGCGTACGTTAAATTAATACAATTAGTTCTGACGTAGGAACGAAAAGTTGGCGCCTGATTTCGTTTACAGCTTGTACGACTTTACGATTTTCCTTTATTGTATTTATTTTATCCGTTCCTTCAAGAGCGCGATGTATGGTTCCACTGATCCAGCATCAGAAATAAATCCAGAGATACAACGATGGTTCTCCACAGTGGACAGAGATGGAAGTGGACGAATAACTGCTACAGAATTGCAGTCTGCATTGGCTAACGGTCAAGGGGGTACTTTTTCTGACACAGCGTGCAAATTAATGATTGGTATGTTTATAGGTCTTGTACAACAAAGAAAATACAATATATTGAATTTTGAGTTTCTTTCACAAGTTATAAAAATATTAGCAATATTAATTTTATTTTCTTTGCAGGCATGTTTGACAAAGAAAATGATGGTACTATAAACATCACGGAATTTCAAGCTCTTTACAATTACATAAATGCTTGGCTTGGCGTATTTCGTGGCTTTGATCATGACAATTCGGGTAGTATACAAGAGAATGAATTAAGCGCAGCCCTAACACAAATGGGCTACAAGCTTAGTCCAGAATTTATTCAATTCCTCATAAAAAAGAGCGATATTCGTGGTCATCAGTCCATTACCGTCGACCAATTTATAGTATTGTGTGTTCAAATACAGAGATTTACAGGTAATTAAAGATACTTATGTAGAAGGAATAGAATTGTATAATTTATCAGTTACCGATTTATTTAGAAATTTGGTATTGTAAACATCTGTACATGCAATAGTTGACAACATTTAATATCATTTAAGTACATTTGTTCATTAAAATATGTCAAAGTCTTACTAGAAAGGCTTTGAAGCATTTGATTGACCAATAAGAAAAAAGAATTTTATAAATTGATCAATAGAAGAATGCATTTGTAGCATCGTTGAACATACTTTGTTACAGAGGCATTTAGGACAAGAGATGCGCAACAAACTGGATCAATCACTATTGGATTTGAAGACTTTCTAGGAGTAGCTCTTAGTTGCAGCATATAACATCTCCATATCTTGATAATAATATAGTTAAATTACTTTTACATACCTATGTATGCTGAAAAAAGTTATTTAGATTTATAACTCAGGCTACAAGTTCTATTTTTCTATCTTAGGAGATAATATAAAATGGAGGTTCATATGTATAAGTACTTGGGCTTCTTTAAGGTATAAAATATCTATTTGTACTTGGAAATTTCTCTTTGTTCTTCGCCTAAGCTTCGCCGCTTTAATTAATTTTAACGATATTTTTAAAGTAAGATAAGATTATTGATAAATATAAGAAACGCTAAAAAATTATGCTTATCGATTCTGCTGATGTAACACACAGTACCTCAAATGACAATGAAACGGTTTTACTTTTATATTCATATACGTTAATAATAATATTTAACGAAATGTTTAAATAAAAATGAATATCACATGACGAAAACGCAAGATACATTATATCGAGCAATATCCCATGGCTTTTTATATTTACATATGATAAAAGAAAAATAGTTTATAATATTTTTACCATTTAAGTGACCCTTATACTATCGAATGTTCACATGTGTTTATAATTTTTACTATCTTTATCTAAGGATACAGATGTGAAGCTCTATCTGGAGGGACGCTTGAAATAAATAAGAATTTTCTTTATACAGATACTTTGAGAATAATACAGATGTTTTAAATTTACGAGACTACAAAATCGTATTACTCCACATGAAACAGGCCCGAGAAAGAATTCAAGAGTTTGAACGATTACAAAAAGCGCGACATCTTCTAGATGCCATTTCATTACTAAACGATTTGCTTGCTGATGGTTCTGAAATAGAAATACTATCGCTTGCTGAAATAATAGTGAGAAGATTAAAAAAGTTAGGTGTGACAAATACAACGGCAGATAAAGAAAACGGTATGTACTCGATATATATGAGTTTTCTTTACGACATATAATAGAATAAATTTTATATACATATAAAGAAAACTTATATGCATTATATTCTTTTTGTAGAATATTGGTATAAAAATACAAGATTATCAGCTTCGAGGCTTACACATAGCGGTATTTATCACTGTTGTACATTTTGCTCCAGTGGTGGAAAGAAAGAAATTATTTGTGGCTGCAGAGGCACCATGCCTGGTAAGGATTGTAATTTCAGAAATTAAATTTTTTAATAAAACTACGGAACATGTATTAAACCATAAAAACAAATTTTTATAATATTAATTCTATAGTATTGCAATACATTTATAAAAATGAGCAATTTTTAATAGGCCCTATTGTCAATTTAGACATAAGCAATTAGATAAAAGATAAATTAATTTTTATAAAGGTGGTTACAAAGGTTGTGGACATGGACATATTGGACATCCAGGTTTTAACCATTGGTCTTGCTGTGGATCTATATTACGTAATGGACGTTGCTTAATTATACGAAAAACTATGCATCAATTTATATTGTAAGTCTTAATAAATTAATAAATATATCTTTATGTATGAATATAATTTAGATATTCCAGTTTAAAAAAAATGAAAACATTAATTACGCCTTGATTTTTAAAAGATTTTAAAATATTATTTCAAGAGATTAAGTATATTTATATGTTTGATCAATTGAAATTTCGATTTATAAGTTTTGAAACAATTTCATACACACAACTGCAGTTTTTTTTAATGAGAAACTTCTGATTAAAAGTTGTATAAAACTTCAGGTCTGTTTTTTATTCCTGTATTAGACTATACTAGAATTCTCTTTCTCGCTTTTGCTAAATACAAAACATATATGTTTATTTTACTTTAAGTTCCAAAAGTGTACATTATTCAGTCACAAAAAACAGACCTTTTATTTAAAGCAAGAAAGGTAATCTTATATACAATATTTAAATCCTATCCTGCAACAGCTTCCATTTATCATTAAACTTAATAGTTTAAATCATACTGTAATACTTAGCAAAATAACGATGATTATTGAGCATTTCTGTTCGAAAAAAGCAGAAAAGTAAGAAGGATAGAGAAAATATGGAATTTATATTATGCTTGTCTTACCTTAATTTTATCGCTGTTTAAGCGAAATGTATGTAACAATGTATATATATTAATATCAATTAATCTCACACAAACACAAAATATATATATATATATATAAAATTTATATATATAGATATTTTTTATATATTTCTTTGTCAATATATTTACATATATATAAGGTATATACATAAAATCAGGTGCTATTTACATTTATATTTATTATTAGTTACAAATGTTCGTATTATATTCAACTAAACTTAAACATAACATGTTTCAAAACATACATCAGTCGCGACATAACTTGCTTCTTACTCAATATTGTTTAATGTTATATTAACAAAAATATATTCAAATCTTATAATTATTTTAATAATTCTAATCGGTTTGTGTATCAGTCAAAGAGCTTTGGAATGTATGCTTTGTACCTCAAATGACAATTACATCTTTTTCGCTTACTATTTCCATATTAATCACATGACAATCATATCACAGTGTACTAACACTAATAAGAATTAGTGCGTGCGTGCACATTTGTGCGTGGTCTTATACACATCGAACGCTGCACTTTTATTATATATAAAAAACCATTCATAAATTTTAAAACATTGTATAGTAAGTTTTAAATCTATAGATTTATATTACAAAACTAGAAATTATATCAATCATACACTGCAAATGCGAGTTGTATAAAACTCATTATACAATGTTTCAGAGAATTTATATTTTAATTCATAAATAACTGAATGTACCTGCAAATCTTGGCTGCATTGTGTGCTTCTTCAAAATCATTGGTTGAAAATACGTCGTGGTTGTATTGAATCAATAGATTATTTAGATACATCCTTGCTTTCTGCAACATTGTTGCTAAATACGTACCAACTCTTTTTCCCACTCCAACAGCGTCTTCACTAGCGTGACCTCTATGCTGTATACTCCACATGCATTCCTTGCACGTTACCTGAAAATATATATTATTGTTTATTTATAAACCCTATAAAATAGTAAGTCATTAAGTATAGTAAATGAAAAAGAATTTGTATGGCCTCAACAATGAAAGTATTAATCGTTTGAAATCGATTGCATTTCCTTTGTATACATAATGCAATATTAAAAAGTATATGTAGAAAGAAAAAATTTTTGTAAACCTGTTGACACGCGATGCAATAAAATCTTAAAGCGTGCGTCGGATGTATTTGACATAAAATCGTTCGTCGTACTTTAGTAGCCTCCCATAGTGGTCTCATTAAATGTTTAATTGTTCTTGCTTCCGCAATATTTTGTTCATGTTGTCTGCCGCATTCCGAGCAAAAGTTGCGCAAACACGTTGAACACTGTATGAGTGCCTTAAAAGAATAATATGCGGAAAATAATGTATAACATTTCTACTTTGCGATAAAATGAAAATTTTAAAGAATGCAATAATAATATCTAGATTGTCGCGGATTGTACCATAACTTCGCCTGTGCAGGTATCGCAAAGTACTCTATTGACCAGTTTACGTCGTACGGTGTCCATAACTGAACGGTGTTGTAAGGGATAATGCGGTGGCGGTATGGCAGAATTAGCATTCGGCAAATGCGAGTCGCATAACGGACACGTTTCGTAAATATCGGGTTGTGTGTAAATTCGATTTTTATCTCGTATTTCGCTCTTTGAAGGAGCTGCAAGGATATAATTCTATCAATGTCTTCATAACAAATCAAAAGTCAACGATTATAACAGTTACATTAATATTATTATTAAAAGTATTGAATTGTGTTTCCCTTTGTTGAAATCAAATTTTTCTTTCGCCACTTACTCTTGCTCATCAATTCGTAAACGCAAGATAAACATATAGGATGCAAGCAAGGAAGGAGTCTAGGTTCCTCCATTCTCTGCCCACATCTGGGACATTGGAAGTCTGCATCGTGCGGCAACCTATATGAAGAATGCATCGATTCTCTCAAATCTTCTTCGACTTCACTACCCATTTTGTTGCGAGTGAAAACGGGGGAAGACTGGTATGCAAAACCATTCGAATTCGGCGAAGGTGCACGTCTTTTTCTGGAATCTTCGTTACTGAAGATAATCAAGGACATTTATAGATTTTTTTATTGGACATTTATAGATATTTTTATTGTAAAAATAAAAAAAAGTCTTAAAAATTCTATTCACATCAGCTGTGCGATTGATGTTTTACATAGTATAATGAATTGTAATTTTAACTCGATTCAAAGAGGCTTTATATGTTAAATCATATGTCACACATTAATAAGTTTTAATTAAAAAATCGCATCGCTCACCGTTTATTCGGTGCTATCGTCATTGGTTCAACATGAACGAAATCTTCAGTATTTATACCTTTGCTCTTGCATTCGACCAAATTTGCGTAAATATGATCGCAGCTTCCGAGCTCACTGTCTACCGTAGTTTCGCGACCGCAACAACTTTTCGAAGAGCGTTTCGCCGAACAATTCATGAAATCCATCGATTACGCTAAAAATGCAACTGCAATGAGAGTAACTGCAATATATATGTAATTTTTTTCTGATCAACATCAAAATCCCAATCAATAATTACTCACCAAAAAATTAAGGTATAATTAACGGGAGATACGAAGGAATAAGTCAACGGACCGCACGAAGTCTTCCTACTACTTAAAACTCATTCTCCAACAGCGTAGTGGGTTAAAAATAACTTTAAAACATAGGCTATGAGCCAAACGCATGTGGAACTTGTCTTGAAATGCGAAATCTTCGCTGCTCCCCAGTTGCGAAATTATAGATATCTTTAATATCTAGATCACCTCGAGAAAACGTGGAAAAAATTTATTGTTCTGCACAAACGTTTGCTAGCACAGAAGTGAATACAAATACTTGATATTTATGTAACAATTTATTAGAAAGAGATTTTCTCGTTTAATATAATAAATTCTTTTAGAGAAATAGGATTTTTTTAAATTAAGTGAACAAGAATTATTTATAAATCATTTATAAATAATATTGGAAGCAATACACTTTTAATATTAAGCAATATAATTTTTTTTCTATTTGAAAAGTAGGTGTATGCGAGGAATAAATAATAAAATATAGATATGGATAATAAATTTTATTTAGTATCCATGTAGTGTAAAAATAAGATCGGCAATGTATATATTAAAGAGTAAGCAGTACATATAAATGACATACAGACCTCATACAGTATTTATTATACATATCGATTTTTTAATTGAAATACTTTCTAAGGCCATAATAATACTTAGACAAGCTCTCAAATAGGTTGACGATTACGTGACGCTGCTTTTTATCGCGTCAAGCAATCGTTGGCGCAGTTAGGATCACATGATAAGTACAGAATAAACTTGATTAATAATACTTAAGACGAATTAAGTAATGTGACATTATTATTAATATCATATATCTATAAACAATACTTAAAATCTATCTACCTTCTTAGAACATTGTTATCAATACCGATTCTGAAGGTGACCATTCTTCATAAGGTACATATGTCAACTGACACCTTCATGACTAGTATTTCAAGATTGGCCAAACTGACACGACTGTGTGCTATTTATCTTTGTACCACTATCGTTGCATTTCTGAAATTTGATAAAAAATTTAGATATAAAATACATTGATTACTATATTTTAACATATCATAAATTTATTATGCTATTACCTCATGTCTTTACTCGAGG